AAATAATATTTGTAATTTCTTTTGTATATCTTGTATTAAATGTTCATTCAGTTGAAATGATTGTGTGTCTATGGAATTTGTTAAAATAATTTTATTTTGAATAAAATGAATTAATATTTTTTTATAATATTTTTTATTTAAAATATCTTTAAAAAGATTAAGATGAGAAAACAGATCAGTAGAGTTTTCTATATGTCTACATGTATAAATTAAATTGTAATATATTATATTATCAAATTCGTATTCTGATTCTTCATATAGGGATTTTTTGTTTTGTTCAATTCCCATGAGAATGAATTTTTTTAAATGTATTAAATATTTTATATCATTTTCTTTGATATTATATGGATAATAATAATAATAATAATTATTATTATTACTATTACTATGGGACATATAATGTTCATCCTTATTTTTATTACTTAATGATGTATTGTTATGTGTTGCATTTAAATATATTTGTTCTTGTACAGAATTATTTTGATGTGTTTGATTGACATTTATATATGTATCAATATCAAGTTCATTTTTATTTTCTAAATTGATTTCTTGTTCATTTGTTTCATTTTGTTTCAATTTGTTATAAAAATAAAGTCTGAAAAATTCTAAGAAGAAGTTAGAAACATATGTATTTAAGCACAAAAAATTTGAATTTTCATATATGAAAAATAAAAAGGTAAAAAGATCACTTAAAGAAATCTCTGAATTCTTTTTATGAATTTGAATGTTATCTATTTGTATTAAATTATTTATTTCGTTTATGTCATCTAAGACTTTGTAAGTATAATCATTATTATGTGAGAAGGAATTGTTTGTTTGTTCTTTTGCAATGGAATTTTTATTTTTTATGGGGAAGAATCCATGTTCATACAAGCAATTATATTTCTCAATTATTAAGTCATTTAACTTTTGTTCGAAATTATTTTGATCAATATTATATTCTATATCTTGTTGTGTAATATCACTTTTTACACAATTTTTTTTAAAAAGAAATATATTATTTGTATCGGAGGGAATTGATGTGTTTGTTAATTTAATTAATTTGTTTATATTATTATTTTTTTTCATATTATATTCTTTTTGATATACATCACCAATAATATTCGACATATTATTAATATTTGATATATTATTAATATTTGATATATCTATATTTTCATTATTTTCCTTAAAATTCGTAACTGCAAATATATATTGGTTGTATGTCATTTGGTTAAATAGGTTGGGATACACTAAAATTGTATGAATATTTAATAGATATTTATATGTTAATATATTTTTAAGTATGGACAATTGAATTTTATAAAGATCATTTTTATTAACATAATTTCTATAATTTTTGATTTTATTTTCTGATTGTTTTTGTTTTTTCATATTTGTAAAATAATTTAATGTTATATTTTGAATATGTGTATTCAAATTATATTTGAGAATTTGAAGATTTGATATATATTTTAATTCATTAAAATATTCATTTTGACAATTTAAAGAATGATCTATATATGTTGATTGATTGAATTTTAAATCTGCAATAATTTCATTTTTAATTTTTTTAAAATTCCAATATTTTTTTGAACTATATTTTTTCATCCATAAATTATTTCTATCTATATCATCATATAAATTAAAATCCTGACTTTCATCTGAAGGAATATGATTATGTATATTATCATATTGGTCATTATCATATATATTATTATATATTTTATTTTTAGTACTATTATGGTCTTTTTCTTCAATAACTTTTATATCTTTTTTGTTAAGTTCAATAGGTGCAATATTTGTTTTCATATTTTTTCCAATACCATCTTCGTATCCCATTTTTCGTAATATTTTAAAACCTAAACCATATTGCTCAAAATTCTTATCTTTATCTTTTAATTCCGTAAGATTATACTTTTTCAAATTATGTTTAATAAAATCTTCATCTTTTTTTTTTATATGAAAATTAAAATCAAATACAAAATGTTTGAAGACATCATATTCGTCATAATCATCTGAATCATTATCAGAAGAATAATCATTAAAATTATTTATTACATTATTTTCATATTCTTCATTATTATTTATATTTTTCTTATTATTTAGAAAACCCGCACTTACGAATTTAACAGGTTTCATCATATATTCTACATTATTTAGATTTTTGAAACTTTTGTTTTTGTTACTATATATATATTCATGTTCATCATAATGTTGATCATTATGTTGATCATTATGTTGATCATTATGTTGATCATTATGTTGATCATTATGTTGATCATTATGTTGATCATTATGTTGATCATTATGTTGATCATTATGTTCATTATCATATTCATGTTCATCTTGAAGATCATCTTCCTCTTGCTCTAGCTGATCATCATCATGGTTATATGTTGAATAAAAGTTTTGTTTTTTCCTTTTTTTCTTTTTCCTTTCATTTTTTTGTATATTTGCAAAGGATATGTTGTTCAAATAATTCATATTATGATATTTTACCAAACGTTTTATGATTTTTTTTTTCTTTTTATCTTATTTGTTACATTTTATTTTTTATACATATCGATATTTACATATATTATATATATATATATATATATATATATATATATATATATATAATACGTAAATTTTTTATTTTTTTAATATAAATAAAAATATTAATCTTGTCGAATATATAAGAAGGTTGCTATGTTTACTCATATAATTCTTAAACAATAAAAAAAAAAAAAAAAAAAAAAATATATATATATATATTTTCAGTTATATATAAATTTTTCTTTTTTTTTTTTTTTATTTATATGTATCAAAAGCTATATATTTAAAAAAAAATATATATATATATAATATTTAATATTTATATTTAAATAATTACATATAGTATAATATTTATAGGGTTATTTTATTTTATTTTTTTTTTTTTTTTTTTTTTTTTTTTTTAATTGTTATATATATATATATATATATATATATATATATATAATATATTATATTGTATTATCAGGAAGGATACTGTGTTAATATATTCCTATATAATATAAGAAAAAAGAAAAAAATTATAATGAAATAAATAAAAGTAAATGTCATATAATATAAAATTAACAATATATATATATATATATATATATTTAATCATCCTATTAGGTTATAATTTCTGAATAAATTTATAAATCTACAACATTTTAAAGTTGAAAATATTTTACAACCTATAAAGGAAATGATGTGATTTATAAAAATAGAAAAAAAAAAAAAAAAAAAAAAATTACCATAAGCTAGTGTATGTATTTTCATAAGTTCTAATAAGATTTACAAGTCTTTTAATTATTTTAAAGTTATTCATAAGAAAAATTATAAAGGAATAAATATAAATTTTTTTTTGGTTTCTATTTAATATTTATATAAATAGTAGGTTACATAAAAATTTTTGTAGAAAAGGTTTAATGAATTAAAAAGAGAATAATATGTTATTGTGTTCTTTTCAATTTTCCTTATATGAAATGTTTAAAATAAAAGGTTATGAAAACAAAAAATATAAAGAGTGTGTTTGTTGGAATATAAAAAAAAAGAAGAAGAATAAGGAATCATATGCATTATTAAAAGCTTTATGTACAAAAATAAAGCACACTCACATACATATTATATATATATATATATATATATATATATATATATATATTATAATTACTATTATTCATTAAATAAATATGTGAATATAAAAAAATACATGTTGTAATCGAAAAAAAAAAGCATGTTATATTATATTACATTACACATAAATATATAAAATTTATTTTCTATATAATAATATTTTATTATTTAATGATTTTTTTTAGGAAGTATGTAATGATAACCTTATATTTAATTATTGTAAAATTTACATGCTGTATATATTAAAGAATTATGCTATAACATGATGTATGCTCTTTTTAAAATAAAAATATATATATATATATATATATATATGTATATATGTAATGTGCAGTACTGCAAATAAGAATATTCCTATATCAATTTTTATTCCGGAAAGGAACACTTAAAGAATAATTATTACTAAATATATAATATATAAAATACATTTTTATTTTATTTTATTTTATTTTATTTGTTTCTTTTTATAAGGACACTAATATATAAGAATTATATTTCTATTTTGTGGACTACAATATATAAAAATTTGTTATAAATAAATTATAAATAGGCATTTTTGTTTTTTTCTTTATTTTAAAAAAAAAGAATTTTTCCATTTTAATATTTAATTGTTTATTAAGAAAAAAAAAAATATATATATTCTTTTGAAAATAATGAGAAAATGAAAAAAAAAAAATAAAAATAAAAATAAAAATAAAAAACAACATGCAGTTAGTGGTTTAATTTTTTTTTTTTTTTATAAAGTATTTCTTATAGTGTTGTATATTTATGTGTATTTAAAATAAAAAAAACATGTGTTTATTAATTTGTTTTGATTTTTTTTAATTTTTTTTTTCCTTAGTGTAATAAAAATATTTTATTATATAATTTAAATAATATTAATTTAAAAAACAAAATAAAAAAATAAATAAAGTGTTTTCATAATTTGGAAATATTATATGTTATATTAACATTATATATATTATTTATATATCTATAATAAAATAATATTATATATAAATAATATGGGATATATAAATTTTATGTATATAATATAATAATATATATATTATATATATATATATATATATAGTTATTACATATATATTTTAGTACGAATAGAATCCATTTTAAAAAATTATAATGTATCCATACTAGGGATGTATATAGTGAAATAAAGTATGTTTAAATGTATATACAATAATTCTATAAAGAAAGTTTTGTTTTAAAAGTTATTAAAAAAATTACTATTAAGTGTTCATATTAAGTATAATTCATACTTTTATTTCTACAAAAAATTTTATCAAAAAATTAATATTAACAAAAAAAAAAAAAAAAAGAAAAAAAAAATTTAAATAAATGAACATGATTGACTAGTGAAGGTACCCTCGAAAAAAAAAAAAAATTTTAGTATAAATTTGAGAAAAAAAATTAAAGTTAGAAATATAAAATTCTCTATTATTTAAAAAAGTGTATTTTTTCATACATATTTTTTTTATTATAAAAAATTATAATAAAGAAAATGAAATGTGATGAAAGAGAAAATAAATTCAATAAAAGTTTAAAAAAAATTTTTATGTATTTTTTATAAATATAAAAATGTATATAAGTTTTGTTTAAACTTTTTTAATTTTTTTTTTATAGCGCTTTTATTTTAAATTTAAAAAATATTATTTAATAATTTTGGTTTTTTTCCCTTATGACAGAAAGAAAATAATATAAATAATTATATTAACTTTTTTTTTTTTTCTTATTTTTATATGTAAAATATTAATTTTTTTTTTTTTTCTTTATTATTTTTAAAATCCGTTAATTCCCTTATAAAATTATAAGGGATTAAAAAAAATTAAATAGAAAGAAGAAATTGAGGATTTATTATTTATATTTTATAATTTTTAATTTGTAAGTTTTTTATAAACATCTAAAAAAATTTATGTATAATATAAAATAAGTTTTAATCTTTTTATTATATTTATTTTAAATTATAATTTTTTTTATATATATTATTAATATATGTAAAAAGTTTTTTAATATAAAATTTTTAACAATTATATAATAAAATGACAAAAGAAAAAATATAGTACTTATTTTATTATAATTTTTTTCTTTTTGATTTTTATAAATTATTATAAAACAGTAAAATTTTTTTTTAGACTTTTTTGTTTTTATAATATATATAAAATTATCTATTTTTGTTTTTTAAATAAATAAATAGACCATTTTATTAAAATTTTTGCTTCATAAGTGAAGTAAAAGTTTTTTTGTTTAAGGAATAAAGAAAAAATACCTTTTATTTAATAAGAAAATAAAGGTAATATTCTTTTTAATGTAAATCTGTTCATTTATATACTATATATTTTTACTTGATTATAAAAAAAGGCATCATAATAATTATAATATATATATATTATTTTTTTTAAAATAAAATTATATTATTATAAATTATTAGGTGTTTTATGTCTTTTCATAGAATTATATATTATATAAGATTAATAAAAAAATAATTCTATGTTATAAAGATAATAACATTAATAAAACATCAAATGTGATTTAAAAAGAAATGCAGCAAAAATAATATTTATATAAATATTGTTTTGTTGTTTTTTTAAGTTTAAAAACATTTTTAACACATTTTATATTATTAGATATTCATAAATGGTATACAAAAAAACAAATTAAATATTTTTTATATTATTATAATAATAATATTATCGTTTAGTATGAAAATACTACAACGGATATATTATATATATTTTTATAATATTATAATAAATATAGTTTTTGTTTTTGGTATATTAAAATTTTATGAATTGAAAATAATATATATAGTAACCTGGTTGATCTTGCCAGTAGTCATATGCTTGTCTCAAAGATTAAGCCATGCAAGTGAAAGTATATATATATTTTATATGTAGAAACTGCGAACGGCTCATTAAAACAGTTATAGTCTACTTGACATTTTTATTATAAGGATAACTACGGAAAAGCTGTAGCTAATACTTGCTTTATTATCCTTTGATTTTTATCTTTGGATAAGTATTTGTTAAGCCTTATAAGAAAAAAGTTATTAACTTAAGGAATTATAACAAAGAAGTAACACGTAATAAATTTATTTTATTTAGTGTGTATCAATCGAGTTTCTGACCTATCAGCTTTTGATGTTAGGGTATTGGCCTAACATGGCTATGACGGGTAACGGGGAATTAGAGTTCGATTCCGGAGAGGGAGCCTGAGAAATAGCTACCACATCTAAGGAAGGCAGCAGGCGCGTAAATTACCCAATTCTAAAGAAGAGAGGTAGTGACAAGAAATAACAATGCAAGGCCAATTTTTGGTTTTGTAATTGGAATGGTGGGAATTTAAAATCTTCCCAGAGTAACAATTGGAGGGCAAGTCTGGTGCCAGCAGCCGCGGTAATTCCAGCTCCAATAGCGTATATTAAAATTGTTGCAGTTAAAACGCTCGTAGTTGAATTTCAAAGAATCGATATTTTAATGCAACTATTTTAGGGGAACTATTTTTAGCTTTTACGCTTTTAATACGCTTCCCCTATAATTATGTTCTTTAAATAAAAAAGATTCTTTTTAAAATCCCCACTTTGCTTTTTGCTTTTTGGGGATTTTGTTACTTTGAGTAAATTAGAGTGTTCAAAGCAAACAGTTAAAGCATTTTACTGTGTTTGAATACTATAGCATGGAATAACAAAATTGAACAAGCTAAAATTTTTGTTCTTTTTTCTTATTTTGGCTTAGTTACGATTAATAGGAGTAGCTTGGGGACATTCGTATTCAGATGTCAGAGGTGAAATTCTTAGATTTTCTGGAGACGAACAACTGCGAAAGCATTTGTCTAAAATACTTCCATTAATCAAGAACGAAAGTTAAGGGAGTGAAGACGATCAGATACCGTCGTAATCTTAACCATAAACTATGCCGACTAGGTGTTGGATGAAAGTGTTAAAAATAAAAGTCATCTTTCGAGGTGACTTTTAGATTGCTTCCTTCAGTACCTTATGAGAAATCAAAGTCTTTGGGTTCTGGGGCGAGTATTCGCGCAAGCGAGAAAGTTAAAAGAATTGACGGAAGGGCACCACCAGGCGTGGAGCTTGCGGCTTAATTTGACTCAACACGGGGAAACTCACTAGTTTAAGACAAGAGTAGGATTGACAGATTAATAGCTCTTTCTTGATTTCTTGGATGGTGATGCATGGCCGTTTTTAGTTCGTGAATATGATTTGTCTGGTTAATTCCGATAACGAACGAGATCTTAACCTGCTAATTAGCGGCAAGTACACCATATTCTTAATTGAAATTGAATATAGGTAATTATACATTTATTCAGTGTTCAAATTAGGATATTTTTATTAAAATATCCTTTTCCCTGTTCTACTAATATTTTGTTTTTTACTCTATTTCTTTCTTCTTTTAAGAATGTACTTGTTTGATTGTAAAGCTTCTTAGAGGAACATTGTGTGTCTAACACAAGGAAGTTTAAGGCAACAACAGGTCTGTGATGTCCTTAGATGAACTAGGCTGCACGCGTGCTACACTGATATATATAACGAGTTTTTAAAAATATACTTTTATATTAGTATCTTTGGATACTTTTATATTTTGTATACTTTTCCTCCGCCGAAAGGTGTAGGTAATCTTTATCAATATATATCGTGATGGGGATAGATTATTGCAATTATTAATCTTGAACGAGGAATGCCTAGTAAGCATGATTCATCAGATTGTGCTGACTACGTCCCTGCCCTTTGTACACACCGCCCGTCGCTCCTACCGATTGAAAGATATGATGAATTGTTTGGACAAGAAAAAGTGGAATTATATTCCTTTTTTTCTGGAAAAACCGTAAATCCTATCTTTTAAAGGAAGGAGAAGTCGTAACAAGGTTTCCGTAGGTGAACCTGCGGAAGGATCATTAATATGAAACGATTTTTTAATATTAAAAAAAAAGGAAGGAAGAATTTGTATCTTTTTGAAAATGGGTTTTTAATAATTTTTTAAAAATCTAATTTTAAAAATTTATAATTTCTTCATTCCTTTTTTTTAATGTACTATATTTATAATAGGGAATACCAATATATTATATTAAATTATATATTTTTATTACTTTATAAAATAGTACATTAGAAAATTTGATATAACTACCTAAAATTATTATTCTTTTTATATTAAAGATTATAATTTTTATGTGGTATATCAAATTTTCATCAACAATATTCAACTCTCAATATTTTGCATATATTATTTTGTTCATTTATTATATATAAAAATAATGTTAAAGAGTTAATTATATATTTGAAGATAAGAATATTTATAAAAAAATTATTATAAATGTTTGTAATTCATTATATTATTAGCACAGTCTTAACGATGGATGTCTTGGTTCCTACAGCGATGAAGGCCGCAGCAAAATGCGATACGCAATGAAAATTGCAGTGACTGTGAATCATCAGAATGCTGAATGTAAACGACACCAATTCCCTTCGGGGAATAGTGGTACTCCTACAGAAAATAATATAATACTTGACTCTCTAGTTTTCTTTTTTATAAAAATGTGCTTTATGCATATAATATTATAAAAAGAAAAAGAGAAATAGGAATTATTCCATAATTCTAAACTAAATTATTTTAATATTTTTTAGTTAAAGTTTCTCGCTGAATAAAATTTATTTTTTCATTCATTCTCTAGAGTTTTAAAAGGTTTTTTTATATATATTATATATATATATAATATATTTATTAGAAATAATATTTATATTTTATATGTAAAATTATATATTCCTTTTATAAAAAGTATTTGATTTGATGTTAGGAGGGCAAATCCGCCGAATTTAAGCATATAATTAAGCGGAAGAAAAGAAAATAACTATGATTCCTTTAGTAACGGCGAGTGAACAAGGACTAGCTCAAACGTTTAATCCTTCGTTTGGTGCAAACCTTACGACGGAATTGTCGTTGAATTATTCCATGAATGCCTTTTAATTTGAGCAAAGTGAGCAGGAATGCTTCCCCACAGAGGGTGAAAGGCCCATAGTTCTTTTTAATTTATTCATTGGAATTTTTCATATAGAGTCGTGTTCTTTGAGATTGGAGCACTAATACGTGTGATACATTTCACATAAAGCTAAATATTTGTAGGAGACCGATAGCAAACAAGTACCGTGAGGGAAAGATGAAATAGTACTCAGGAATGAGCAATTAAATAGTACCTGAAATCGTTAAGATGGAACGGATTAAGAGAGAAAACAAGTAAAGAGGGGAATTTTTACTTTTTTGTTTTAATTCTCTTCTTTATTAAAAGAAACATCAGTGATTAATTTAATTACAATAAAGCAATCCCCTGAAATTCAAAATTTCTTTTAATTTTGTTTTCACTTTCTCCCCGCACTAATGTGGGGAAAACTGGCTTTATTTCTTCAATTATTTTTTTTACTGAGGAATTTTAAAATTATTTGAATTTTTTTTCTTATAATTTAAGTTGTTTCTATATAGTACTTTCTTAACCCACTCGTCTTGAAACACGGACCAAGGAGTCTAGCAAATGTGCAAGTGTATATGATTTTTTAAACATTCTTTTTTAAATATACGCATAATTAATGTAATATGTTTCCTTATTGTAGATTTGTGGTGTCTTTATTTTTTAAAATCCCCACTTTGCATACAATACCGGTAAGCAATTATGCTTTATTGAGTATGAGCATATTTGGTAGGACCCGAGAGGCTTTGAACTAAGCGTGGTGAGATTGAAGTCAGACGAAAGTCTGATGGAGGATCGAGTTGATACTGACGTGCAAATCGTTCATTTCAATCACGTTTAGGGGCGAAAGACTAATCGAAAAGCCTATTAGCTGGTTATTTTCGAAATATCTCTCAGGATCGCTGGAGTTGACTAATATAATTTTACCAGGTAGAGATAATGATTAGAGGAATCAGGGAAATCGTTTTCCTTGACCTATTCTCAAACTCCCAATAGGTAAAAAGGGTGAAATAACTCAATTGTATTTCACTCATATTAAATAAAATAACTCCAAGTGGGCCATTTTTGGTAAGCAGAACTGGCGATGAGGGATGCTCCTAACGCTTGGATAAGGTGCCTAAATATTCGCTCATGAGATCCCATAAAAGGTGTT